CTCTCCACTCTGGAATTTTTTCCCCTCTGTTCTCTCAGATCTTTCTCAGAGTCCTTTAGTCATTGCCCCCATCTTCCACATCCTGTCTTGGAGTGACAAATCAGCAGCTACCCCAGCTCTCTTTCTGGTACGAGAGAGAGAGGGATATGCATAGACCCTCTTTCTCACCATGAACTGTGGTAGCAAACAATTCCAGACATCCTTTTTTTTTCTTAGAAGTCTCAGAATTTTTGCTGTCAAGGTCAGGGAAATATGAGACTGGAGTAGAGCTGGTCAAAACATCTCTAATTCCAAACATTTTCAACAACAGAAGGGACAGATTTTTGTGAAAGTTTTGTGGAAAATGGTATTATTTTTTTTGACCAGCTGTAGACTAGAGACCAATTTAAAGGGTCAATGCACCCAGTGACAGCATCTAATTATAATTTCCAGCATGAGGCACCTAACACAAAGATTTTTCTGGATCTAAAAGTCATAACTTGAGAGCATGACCAGGCCCTAAAGCTTGAAGATCTAATTTTCAACAGCCACACAGCATGATTCTGTCTTAGTGAGGCAACTAAATGAGGTCATGGATGTATAATAGATTCTATTTTCATTTCCATTAAAGCAGTCTTATTAGATGTGTTCTCAACAAGGGAGAAAAAATGATGCTTTGGAGAAAATAGATCTGATTTGCTAGACAAGAGCTTAATTTTCTGAAAAGCTCCATTAAGCCATCTTAGGCTCCCAATAAGCGTGTGTAATATCTAATAAACTTAATTATTCAAATAGCATGGCTTCTCCTATAGTAATGTCACATACACTATGTATTGGCATTAAACTGGGCCTGACTGACTATATGGTTGGCTGTTCAGCAAAGCATTCTGGATGGCTGTGTCTACACTGGCAAGTTATTCCGGAAAATCAGCCGCTTTTCCAGAAAAACTTGCCAGCTGTCTACACTGGCCGCTTGAATTTTCGGAAAAGCACTGACGATCTAATGTAAAATCATCAGTGCTTTTACGGAAAAACTATGCTGCTCCCGTTCGGGCAAAAGTCTTTTTCCGGAAAACTGTTCCAGAAAAGGGCCAGTGTAGACAGCACAGTAGTGTTTTCCGCAAAATAGCCCCGATCGCGAAAATGATGATCGGGGCTTTTTTGCGGAAAAGCACGTCTAGATTGGCCACGGATGCTTTTCTGGAAAAAGTGCTTTTCCAGAAAAGCGTCCTGCCAATCTAGACGCGCTTTTCCGAAAATGCTTTTAACGGAAAACTTTTCCGTTAAAAGCATTTCCGGAAAATCATGCCAGTGTAGACGTAGCCGATATGTTTACCTGTCGATGTGCTAACATGTCTAATCTGGTAATTTTTAACTAATTTAAATGGCTTGCATAATATATAGGAAATTTAGGCCAAACTTTGGATGTGATGTGGAATAGTAACACATTCCATCTTGCTTCAAATAAGATCGCAGTCTCTTTGGGGCAGGCACCATCTCTTCGTATGTCTTTATACCGTGTGTATCACAATGAGGCCTCAATCCTTGATTATGCATTTGTGTGCTACCATAGTGCAAGTAGTAAATCATAGTGTTTGAAAACCCACTTACAGTAGAGCTAATAGGCTTCATGTCAGCATCTCTGAAAATTGGGGCCTGTTGAATCATTGGTTTAAAACAGTGATGCTTTATTTTCATTACATGGAGACACTAAAACAGACAGCTTTTCAGGGAAGTCAGATTTAGTTCTTGACAGTTGTCAGTGTTTTTTAAGCTGATGCTCTGTCACTGAGGTTTTACACCATACACCTTATTGCTCAGAATGTTTGTTCTATTGCTTTTGTAGATTTAAGTCATAAATGTACAGTGCTCAGACCTTATCTGGCAAATATCCTTATTAATAAAAGTTAGTTCATTGTATAAATCTATAATAAACACATTTGCACTGGCTCTAATGTAAATGCAGGAGAAGATCTCATTAATTCTTAGTGATGGAATCTAATAATATAACTTAATGGAAAATTCTGGCATATGGTATCAATAAAAATATAGTCAACACAGTAGATTACTGTGAAAGTGTTTTTTGTTTTGTTTTGTTTTGTTTTGTTTTTTAAGGCCAACAAGTAAGTTCTACTTACATAAGCTATAAATGTTCCTTGAATTGTTTGTGATTTTAATGTGGTTTTGAAGTGAAGCATATCTTACAAATACTTTCTGCATAAAACCACAAATATACTACATCGTGGCTACTCATGGATTTAATCCATTCACTGCTGAAACATCCATACACATAGCAATAAATAGACTGGATAACAATGTAAATGTATGGGAACTATTGATGCATTAATATCTTGAGTTATTTGCATACACCAAGGAAACTTTAAAGAAAATAGCATGGAAAAGTACATCCTCCTTTTGTATATTTCCAGACTTCCTTTAATATACAGAAGTAAAATGAGGCCAGGCTAATAGCAAAAGAGAGTTGGCTCTAATGAGGACTCACTAGCCATAGGCTCAAGACTGGATGAAGGAAACTGTGTCCTACGCACAGCATGAAATAAGGATGGAGCTTCTATTGGGGACCTCTTCTTATGCTAAGACTCTGCCTCACATTTGCAGTGATCTCTCCTCCCTCCCAGACAGACAGGGACAAATACCTGCTGCTTCCCCTTCCAGGAGCAACCAGGTGAGGAACAGGGCAGCTCTTTGCCATTCAGAGGGGCAGGGGCAACAGCAGTTGGGGGCATACTTGCTTAAGTCAGTGAGCTGGGCCTGCTTGTAGTCTTCTGTTACCTACAACATTCTGTGTTTGGGTAGTGTAGGCAGTGCTTCTAGAGGACTGGATCTTGATAACAGTCACTGAGATAATATGGGGTAATTCACTTCTCTCCGAATTACTGTTTCATGCTCTCAGCATACTTAAACAGGATTACATTGGTTACACAATAGTCACATTTTCTTCACAATCATGAGGATTATTTTTTTTTAATTTCAACAAAAACAGAAGTTCTATTATGTGATCCAAGGAGCTGAGTTCCAACATGCAGGTGTGTTCCATCCCTGGAGGTGTGCTTTACCCTTCCCTGCTCAGACAACTCACCTCTGTGATAGGTAAAATGTCAGAAGAAAAAATGGTATTTTTCATTTTTTAAACCTTATTTTTCACATTGCCATATAATACTCTCTATATGTAATAGTCCTTTCCTGGGTGTCGGTGAAGAGTAAAAAATATTGTGAGACCAGTCATGAAAATCTAACAGAATTGACCAAAAGTCTGTAAATAGAGGAGGTTTAAATATCAGTACTCCAGTGATAATATAAGGTGATGTGTGCTACTACTTGTATGGACTGCACTCGAGACACTTGCAGTAAAAAGTATGCATGACTTCCTGTGGGGCAAGCCCCAGAAGAAGACAGACACTGACTCAGTGTAAATTAATTATTTCAGATGAAAGACTATCCAGATACTAATGTGTTTTAACATCACCCACCCCAATTCCATCTCCTAAGAGAATGAGTGGCAGAGTAACCCAAAGGGAAGTGAACTTGACCTTTCTGTGCACAACTATTCTTGGTTATCAGGAGAGTCAGTCTCCCCTCATATAGTCACAGCCGGTGGGAGTTGCTAAAGGACTCTTCCATAGTTATTAAAAGATGGAAAAGGGGGCTAGATTCAGGAGTGCTGGCAAAAGAGACTGAACTTTCTTTCCTAGTCTCACTTGCATCAAAGTTATAAACAGGTAATATCCTCATCAGGTGATATCCTTATTCACTAACTCCAGTGGCTACATTGTTTTTCTTAAAACTTCTGTTCTAAAGACAGAAGTTTGGAATGTTAGAAGTATCCCTGATGGAGCAGTGGGCAATGTGCTGCTGGTGATAAATTTAGTGGGCATAGTGCATAGGAAGAGGTCACAGGCACATTGCAAATTATCACATGGCTTTACAGTTCTTTGCACATTAGTGGGCTTCATTCATCCCTGTAGGTGCAGAATTTACAACCTCCACTGTCTGCGGAGGCAGCTGCATACACAACACCACAGCTACTCTTTCCTGGGGATTCAATTTACAGCAGATCCCATCACTGAGAATACATGATGGTTCTGCTCTGATGTACTGCTCCCAAACTCCCAGCAAGCTGATTTTATGCTTCTCTAAGGAATGACCCATACTGGAATAAAGACCATATTTTTTTTAAAATTAGCTAGCAGACAAAGATCAGACAAATTTAACAGGTGTTAGCAGCGGTATTCATGCTGATGTGTTAGTATGCCTCTTATCCTGACATAGGCAGGTCCTAATACAGACTGTTACAACACCTCTCCCAGGTGTGTTTCATCCACTTCCTAAACTGTGCTTGCCTGATTTGCCTTGCACAGTACCAGCCTCCTGGTTCCATTGGCTAACCCTAGGGTGAATCAAATACTGTGTAATTGTGGGTATGCAGTATAATAGGAAGAGGATTTGATCCAGTACCTTGGTTCCATTGAGAATCTGAACCAGAATCTAATTTTACAGCTGGATTTAGCTTTTTATTGGATTGAACCATAATCCTGGGCAAATACCCCTAAACTCTTTGGGGCAGAGTGGTCTGAAATCCGGCCAGGGTATTAATCTGGCCCTTTCGGTGGGATTTACTGGGCTTTCGATGTTCTCTCTGTGTTTCCAGAATCAGGAAGCGGCACAGGCAGATTCTATGGAAACTGATCCAGCCTTATTCACACCAAATCAAGTACAACTATGAAGAATGCCCAGGAAGGCAGGGAAGTGTCACCAGCCTGTCAGTCGCCTAGTTTCTCTTTCCCAACCTCCCTCTCTGTGTGTGAGTCAGAGTGAGTGCTGAGGGGGAGAGAGACACTCTGCCTTTGAATTAGCCAACTGGCTGACCAGGAGTTACCCGCCCCTTTGCCCCCTCCCTCCCTCGGCTCTGGCACTCGGGAGACTGCTGGCTGGCGGCCCTTAAGCATTCACCCCCCTCCCCCGCCTCCTTCCCTGCACTGCAGTCCCTCTGTCCACACAGCACTGATACAACCAGCGGAGAGCACGGGCAGCCCAATTCCTGCGCTGGCAGCAGCCTGGACCCCCCTCCTCCCCAAACAAGTCTGGAGAGACAACACTTCCCTCCTCCCAGGAACAATATGACAGCAGTGAGCTAGCAAGGTCGCCAAACAAGTCAACTTCATCTTCCTCAGCCTCACCTACGGGCACTGACTGCGGGACACGGCAGTGAGAGGCGAGCCCTCGAGTTTGGTCAACCCAGATTTCCCAAGAGAAAAGAGAAAGCTCCTCTCCCCAGCCCTCGCTTGGCATGTCTCTTCCCGAGCCCTGATGGAAACTGTTCCTGCTCAAGTGGAGGACAGCCTCTCTCAAGTGTGTTTGAAGGGAACCAGAGTTGCTTTTCTTTCTTCAGCTCTCTCCTTGCAAGTGCTGGCTGTCATTCTTGCCTAGAGGAGAGAGGGGCTCTGCCTGGAGAAGGAATATGCACCTTGGGCTTTGTTGTGGAAAACCTGGTTACCTGGTAAGTGGATGCTGCCATAGGAACTTTGCTTGCAGGCGCACGCACACAGAAGTAAAAGCTGACCTAACCATCAAACCAAGCTAAAGAGCCTCACGTTAGCCAAAACACCACGGCGGAACAGCAGCAGCAATCCTGTGGAGTCTAAACTGTTTTGTATACACACTCTCCCCCTCCCCTGCTTCGGGGGAAATGTATTTAAGAGGGGGAAGGTAGAGTGCGCTTTACTTGATCAGCTGAGCGGGGAACAGAGTCCAACTTCCCACAGGGATTCTGAAATGTAGCCCATGGCTGTATGTATAGAACGACAAGGTGTAACAACCAAAGGGGCTGTGCTTTAATCTGACCACGGCTGGGTGTGAGATTTACTTGCAGGAGGGGCGAGGGGTTAATTGACAAGAGGTGAGGCTCGTGCGATCTTACGGACAACGCAAAAGCTTGGTAGTTTGTCAACGACTGTAGTAACTCGTGTAAAGTTTCGACCTAAGGGGACTTAAGAGAAGAATAGGAAAGGGGTGAATGAATGACGCGAGGAATGCTGTCTCATAAGTACTGTGGACGTATATGCAGGCAATTCAGTCTTCATTATTTGTTGTTTATTTTAAGTGTAGCCGTGATAGATCATTGCTTTATACAGAGAGCGGGCGTGTGTAAATGTTGGAGTTGGTGTATGTACACACACCCAGCAATTATATGTAAGACCCTTCAACGCTCTGTTTTTGTCAGCTCTCCAGCAAACACATGCTTTTACATTTTGTGCGTGTCTAGTGTCAGATACCGTTCACATGTCTCACTCCCGCTGTACGGGACTTTATCCTGGTTCTCGGCTCCAGTCCTGTGAATTATCCGGTGTTTTTCTGCGAGCCGCCTTTGGAAATCATGAGTCTGCAGCTCTTTTCTCAGGCTTTCCACGGTGTGTTTGTTTGTTTGTTTGAAATCCTGTGGTGAGGTTACTTCGAAGTTACTCACTGTCTGCTCTTGAGCTGGAGAAAGAGCGATGTCTGGAAAGTTGGAACAGGTATTCTCTGACTCCGGGAGATTTGTCATCCTGCTGATGATTAAGCCGAGACTTAATTCCTCGAGGAGGAAATGAAGGACTTTGCAAAGAAAATGACCGTGGGATGCTGTCCCCTGAGTGTGTGTTGCAGCCAGAAAGTAGAGTAAATCGCTTCGTTGAAAGCCGGGCTGGCTGCAGCGAGGCACATGTCTCCTCTTTCCCCTTAGGCAGCTGACTTTTTTTCTCTCTGCTCTCCTGAACAGCCGTATTCACAGCAGCGCGGAGAGGAGAGGAGGGCTCGCAGCACCTCGGGTCTGCGTAGCCGTGGGCAGCGGCGTGAAATCCACCTGAGCGGTCCAGTCCGTTTCCCCTCCTTTCCGCCAGCCTCAGAAGCAAGTTGAAGGCTGAGCCCTGGTAGCTAGTTCCCGGGCGCAGCAGCCAGCGGTGCTAAGGAGCCGCATCCCTGCTTGGAAAGTCTCGGGAGGGGAGAGCTGAGAATAGTGTCCCAGCACCCAGCCAGGGAAGCTGAGGGAAGAGCCCTTCTCCTCCAGCAGGGGGCAGTGGAATGGGAGAAGCAGGTGAGCTGGGAGCTCCAATGGAGTCCAGCTTGAGGGGTGCTCCCACTCCAGGAGAGAGGAGTGGAAGAGGGTAAGGGTCTCACTGCAGCTAGGTTTGGTGCTGGTATTTCAGCTGCAAATCACAGACAAGGGGTGAGGAGCCCCACCCGGCACACCATTGCGCCAATGATTTTAGGAAAGGGGCTGCAGGCGGTCAAAATTAAGGGATGAGTTTCAGTGGGAGCTTTTTTTTCGAAAGCCCTCCTGAAATAGTGTCAAAATCTTACAAATCTTCTCCTACCTCTCCTTAGTTCTGCCAAGTTTGGTCCCTTCCACCTGCAGATACTTTGTGGTGTCTCTCCAGAGGATAAAAATCTCCCCCCTGGAAAAACAAAACAAAACAACAGCCCTGCATTTTCTGTAGTACAAATGCAGCCACCAGTGTCACACCAAAGACAGACCACACAGCTATTTAATGCTCACTAAAGTGACAACTTAATCTTCAGCCTTTTTGTGTCACTTGGTAATTACAATTTAGCAAAGTTTAACAAATAGAAATTTCAGTTCCAGGCTTCCACTGGATTTTTTTCTTTCTTCTTCCCCGAGAAACCAAGATACTTTCTGACCCCGTTGGTATTGTTAACTCTTTAATTCAAAGCTTTGGAAAGAGAAGGTGTTGGAGAGTGTATTTCCACAGCTTGATTTTTTCTTGGCATTTCTCACCTTTCATTAGCCACAGAGGGCGATCTAGAGTAGAGGGACACCAATGGTGCCTATGTTTCTATCACCCTGTCATCTAAGCCTGTTGTGAGTAGGTGTAGATAATATGGTGGCAAACATATATACAGTTGTAGTTGTTCTACTTTCTGCACTAGAGCTCACCTTGTCTAGCTATGGAGGTTGGCAATGGAAGATTGGGGGTTTGGGAGGCTAGTGTAGAGAAGCTAATGGGACTGTGAATGCGGAGTATAGACTTTTCACAAGACTGTGGATTTGCAAGACTGGGTCTGTGGCTGTCGGCCTCTCCCTGATCAGTGAGCCACAGTCTCCTTGCTGTAAGTGCGTTTGCTATTAGGTATCAGAGATAGTTCTACTTAAAAGAACCTGACTTGATAAAGTTTTCAATATGTGCTCTAATGTGAAAAGTGCTTTAGAGAATACTCTCTGTGGGCATGTGTACTTTCCTCAGTACTTTGTTTTCAGGCCTAGCCTTAGGGCAAGGTGAGCAAGGAGGATTTTCTTTGGCCCTGCACCTTCAGGGTCCGCGCTGCCTGGCGCCCATCCACCTGGCTGCTTGCTCACTGCTCTGGTTGTGAGCTGCCCAGCCATGTGGTGCAGCCAACCACAACAGCCACCTTGAGACCTCCAAACTCTTCGGCTGGGCCTGTTTGTTTTATTTTCATGTAATGATTGTCATGTTAGATGGAGTCTGAAAGTTAGGAGGCTGGACTTTATTCTTAGATACATGAGCCTAAATTTACTTCAGATATAGTCACTGAGTAATTTCAGATTCATACTGGTGAGAATTCTGCTCAAGATGGTTTAAAATAATTTTTATTCAGATTAATACTTACAAGAATTAACAGGGTTTAAAAGTCACCCATAATGGGTAAATTCCAACTATTTAAGAAGGGAAAAATGTGGATTTCAGCCTTTGAGTGACTTACTAACAATACAATTGTGTGATCCTTAAACGATAGCCAAACCTCTAGAACGGGCTTTATCCTGTTCTCCTATTCATTGCACACGTTCTCATATGTTAAGGAAAACCAGATTCTACGTTTGGGCCTACTCTAGGTTAAATCTTGTCCCCATAGCATCATCTATGATACTGAAACTGCAGGACCTTGTGAGACCCACTTGGACTCTGCAGCTTCTGATGCTTCAGAGGAGGAAAGCAAATACTGGATGCAGCCCTGTTGCACTTACTGGCATCCAATCCCTGTCCTTCTCTGGATGAGTCCAGGATTCCTCCTAAGTGACTCATCAGGCCTTTGAAATGTTGCAGAGTTGGTACCCTTCTCCACATCATCTCCATGGGGGGTAATGTGTATGGGTTTCTGACTGACTGATGGCTATGAAAGACTGAATGGGGCCATATTAGTTGGAGACCTCCTATAGTGACAACTTCAAGCTAACATGGGCAATCAGGAAGGAAGCAGGGAGAACTGTAGGGCGAAGAACAGTATTATTGTCAGAGGGGGAGCTTTGCGAACCAGTTTGAGTGGCCATCAGTTAACCCCTTCAAACCCTGCACCCAAACATAAGCAAGTGTGTTGATTTTTTTTCAACCACTTGTGCAGAAAAGCTTGTAGGGAGTTTGTGAGTGGTGGTGAGGAGGGTGCTGGAAGGCTGCATTTCTACCAGGGTCGCATTTTATAAAGTAGTTGTGTTATCTGAGGTATATGGTGGTGGTTCTAGTAGTGAGGTGTGTGTCTCTGGATGGAGAAATAGAGAATAGGGACTGTTAGATGCTTTCACTTCTAATCTTCTTGCCTTTGTGGCTTTGTGCTAGGTATGTTATGTACAGAGCAATATGTAGAGAACCATCATGTAGTGGTTTTGTATATTAATGTTTTTGTCAAGAAATCTTTGGCTAATAATAAATATTATCCTTGATGAGACACAATGCAAAAATGCATAAAATAAAATTAAAAGTTTGAATATTTCCACAGAAAAGACACTTGGAAAGAATCAGTCTTTTTTCTGCGTATCTTCCAAACAATGAATGAGCTTATCTAGAGCCTTCCATTCTGAGGCTCCTGTGATACAGGATCACTGTTTCATTAACTATAAATGTTCAGTATTTCTGATTATTTAAGTTTGACCCATAAAATGTTATTGACATATTCTCTAAACAAGTCTTGCACTTCTCATTCAAGCAAAACTACAATTCACTTGATTAGGAATTTTTTTTTCTGAATAGGCATTATAGGATCAAATTGTACATTGAGATTTCCAGACACTCAGACTGGTTTAACTACTTCTATTGCAGTCCAGTAGCTTTATCTTCCGACAGGACTACCCTCAATGTATTATACACTATTTATGCATACCATACTAGGGACACAAATATTTGTGAACTCATCTTTTGTTTCCCTTTATGAAGGAATTGATTCAGTTTTTCCAGGCCTGCAGCTTGAATTTAACTCATACTGTGTGGTTTACTGAGAGTAGACTCATGAGTCAGACATGTGGATTTTGAGTAACTGTTGTCATGTTTTTAGTAACAATGATGTCAGTTAAGTAAAATACAGTTTTAAAAAGTGGGCCTAATCATGCTTCTGAAGACATCAGTGGGAGCAAGAATGGACCCAAGAACGAACTTTACTCATTTTTTAAATGTTATTTTAAAACTATAAACAAAATAAAGTGCTCATGTTTATATCACATATCTGAGGTTATAGTAGGGCAAACTCTGTCCAATAAATGAATATAATCTTAGGATA